GTAGCTGATAGCGAGAAACTGTAACTTTTATTTGTTATATGAGTGTTTGGCAAAAGTAGCTGGAAGCTTTTGAAATATATAAAATTACATAAAAGGACAATTGATTAAACATAAATAAATATATAAATATATTTTTAAGGGTAGTTATGGAAATTAATTTGAAAAGCTCAGTAGCATTTTGTTAAATGCTACATGAAGTAGCTTTTAGATTTGGAACGTTTTGTTTAAACTAAAAGTTAAATGATCGTACTACCAAACAAAGTTTTTTGTTTAAACTAGAGCGTTTTATCAAAAACTAAAAGATAGAAGCTCCCAAACGCTTCCATAAGCTCTGTGCCAAACACGCCCTTAACAAAAAACATTAAATACATGAAAATAAATTTTTATGTTTAATTTCTTTTTAATAAATATCTATGTGGATGTCATCACCATTGGTGTCAAATAACTGATATCCGACATATATTGCAATTTGGGTCTTTGGGTTCGGGTAGTTTGAGTTTCGGTTTTGGTCGAGTATTTTCGGATATACCCAAAAATTACTTAAATCTTATTGATTGAATTTGCATTACATTTTGGGTGTAAGAAAAATGATTTCTACCGTTTTCAAGTTTCTAAGTGATTAATTTTGGGGTGTAAGAAAAATGATTTCTATCGTTGCCAAGTTTCTAAGTGATTAATTTTGGTGTGAAAGTATTTTTTGATTTTTATGTTTTTCAAGTTTTAAGTGATTTATATGGGTGTGAATATTAATCTTAGCATCATGAAGTCTTTTGGATTGGCACTTGTCATTTCTAATTTTCTATGACTTTAGGTAGAGTGTATAACCACCAATTCAAAGTATGTGTACAAAAACAAAATTACTAAATAAACTATTGATAAAGAAAAAAAATAGACTAACTTTTTTAACACAACCCAACTAAACCATAACCCAATTCAAAACGTATCCAAGTTTCAGACATGGTTTTAAAACGTTTTAAGTTTCACAAAATATATTCATCCATCTTGCTTTCAGAACTCGATCATTGGTTGACCTTTCAACGTTAATCGTCTCATCTTCAATATACTCGTTCGTTTCAACACAATATAGTTAAAAAACAACAACAATTAAAAGAGAAAACCATAACAATCATCCATATAACAACAATTAAAATAGAAAACAACAACAATTATATATATATATATATATATATATATATATATATATATATATATATATATATATATATAGAGTTAAGATCAAATAAGAAGGAAATTTTTGGTAGGAAGGTAAGAAATTTTTTTTCTACATATTTTTTTCGCGAACAAACAAAATGAATCATTAGATGATTCATTTGTAAGATGATTCACAAGAAAAAATTCTCAAAAAAACATCTCGATGATTCATTTATACAATGATTTTGTTGTTATTCACTAAAATTATCATAAAAATGAATTTTTTCTTAATTTACTTAAAAATGAATCATAAAGATGTTTTTTTGAGAATTTTTTCTTTTGATTCATCTTACAAATGAATCATCTAGTGATTCATTTATTTTGTTCGTCAAAAAAATATGTAGAAAAAAACTTCTTACCTTCCTACCAAAATTTTTTTTTACTGGATCTATATATATATATATATATATATATATATAACACCAATTAAAAGAAACAACAACACAACAGCAGTTTGTCTATCCATGCAACAATTAAAACATAAAACAACAACATTTAAGAGCCTTCAAGAATTCAACCACAAATAATATGAAAGGTCATTTATTGTAGTATTTTGAAGTGTATGGTTAATTTGGTTGTAGCAATGTACTTAGTGATTTAAATTTGACCAATGGATTTGGGTACCCGTGGGTATCCGACCATGTCGGGTATTACCTGTCTTAGCGGATAACGAGGCGAGGACGGGTCTTGATATTCATACCTGAAGCGGGGACGAGTTGGAGACGAGTATGACAATATCCGCCTGTTTAAAACCAGAGTATATATATATATATATATATATATATATATATATATATATATATATATATATATATATATATATATATATATCGGAAATCATTTTCATAGTAACGAGATGAATCTTCGATTATCAAGAAATCGCTACCTCGTTTCTTAAACCATTAAATCTCTCTTCAACTAGAATCAAGGTTTTATGATAAAAGGATGCACCATCAAACAACAATAATCTTTCTTTTGACCCTCGTTTTCGATTCATCGATTCTTCCATCTTCATCTTCCTTTCTTGGTGGTTCACTGCTTCATGACTACCACATCGACATTAATCTTTCTCTTTCAACCAACCCTAATCTCTTAGTCTTTAATCGGTGCTCATGGCCTATGAACCTTCTGATGGGTTTTGGTCATAAGACATCATATATGCTCATACAAACCCTAATGCTTGGATCTAGGTTTCTCTATTGTACATGCTTTGAATCCAAGACTATAAACCCTAATTCTAGTATATGAAATCGATATTAACATATGAATGGGTTTAAGATCATACCTCTGATTGTTATGTAGCCATAACAATCCTAATTCCTCCTTGAGTTGACTTTGGAATGCTTAGAGTCACAAGTGTCACTCCTCTAATGGCTTACAAACACCAAGAGCAAATAGAGAAGGTATAAAGAGAGAGGAGACATGTTAGAATTCGTCCTTAGGACTCCTTGGGAAGGGATACACGAATTCATGAGCCTTGGGGTCTTTATATAGGTGTAGAGATAGGATTTCAGTCATTATCCTTATCTAGTTGCTTATCCACAAAGCAACCCATAAGATAATCCTTGAATCCTTATCATAGTCGAATTCTAATGCCTTATCACCTTAAATTCGTTCACCCTATATTTAAGATAATCCTTACCTTATTTTGTAACTATCACATAATTACAAATCAGCCCCTCTAGTTTAATTAATTACACTTGATCACAAAATTAATTCCTAATTAATTATTGACCAATATTAATTAAACAAATATGATTTCTCCTTTAATATATTATTCTTATAACATATTAATAAATCATAATAACCTCTCTCTCTTTATTTATTTCTCCAATCAAGTTGCTTTGGTGAAGGCAACCCAAAAGGACCATGCACCATCGGGTCAAGTACATACCAAAATAGTTATGGACTTAGACACTAATCCAACACCTTCATCCCAAAATCCTAAGACTAGGTAAGTTTTCGATTTCTTTTACTCACTCGATTTCTACATTTGATGTCTGCTCGGTTTGATCAATTTCCTAACAACAATTCCGACAATCGATTTTGTACTGTAACTTATTTATTGAAATGTTTGAATTGTATTTTTTATTTTTTTTTTTTTTTTTTTTTTTTTTTGCATTAGTCTACTTTGTATCTATTTTGGTTTAGTGAAATTAGAAACCATAATCATGCATATGAAAATTAACTTGAATGGACGAAGATGCCCTTCCTATTATACCATACTTGATTATGTTAAGTGATGAAAACTATCATTTGAATAGACTACTCTTTCTTGTCTTGTCCTCAATTGTTCTTGCCATCTTTCATTTTTTTTTCTCTAATTGCTCTACTTATGTGTTATAGTTAAATTGGCATTTTATCATCGACAATGTCAGTTGCTTTAGCTTAAAAGACGGTAGAGGGAATGTAGGGATTGTAAAAGGCAAATGGTGTTATTGTTTTTATCATTGGAGATACTTTTAACTCCTTGTGTTACCCATTTTACCTTTGATGCCGCTGATAACATCTAGTCTTCCACAAGTGTTCAAGACAAATGGTATTATTAGAAAGTGAAGTTGACTAGATAAGACAAATGTAATCTTTTGGTTGTAATTTAACTGCATATAATCTTTTTTGTTGCAATTTACCTGTATATATGTAATCTTTTATGTGCGTTTAACTAGTTCCATGTAATCTTTTTTGTTGTAATTTAACTGCATATATGTAATCTTCTTTTTATTATACGTGAATCTAGTTGTTTTCAATATGTTTATGTGGTTATATATGAATCTATTTGTATATGTTCAAATTTCTTTTGTTCTAACTGTTAATATTTTTAATTGTGGTTTGTTATATCTGAATCATTTTGTTTTGATTGTTTATATAGTAGTATATAAACATTTACTTTGTAGTGAAACTCACGTTCAACATCCCCGACAAAATGAGTTTATGAGTAAAAGATTCTATTTTGCTGTTTGGTGTCATTTTAAAAAGCAAAAAGATTAATGGAATTGATGTCGTCATATGTCATTATTGCCGGAAACAATTGAGTGGAAGAAGAAAGAATGAACGTTTAGGCCGACGGAGATGTGGTCTGTACCCGACGGAGATTTTTTCACCCAACCTTCCGGGGATTAGGCCGGTCAGGGGCGGGAACGCGTATGGGGATATGAGATCAGGTATGAGGATAGAGACTATAGTCTCCACCAATATCCATTCCCATTTACATCCCTAACTATACTAACACATGGTTCGATATATTTATTTTGAGGTTATGAAGTTACATTTATAGTGGAAAAGAAAACGGTAGTGTCATCAAGAGCACCCATGTGACACAACTTTATAATAAGAACTCAAGTCCATAAACCCACACATGAGAATCTAAATAAGTCTTAGTAGAAACATTAAAAGACAAGCTAACCAAATTTCCAAACATCATACATGCAAAGAATGATATGTCTATATTAGCCTGGTACTTATAAAATTATATAAAATAATAATTAAGAATAACCAATATAGTAGTTTGCCAACAAATTTAGTAGTTTGCCATACACATGCACAAAAAAATAATAATTAAACACCAAAGAAGCTCAAAACACATAATTAATTAAAGTTTGGGTAAATTACACCGTTGGTCCCTCGTGCACATGCCAGAAAGCATGTGTAGTCCCTATTTCCAAAATTTAACTCGTGCAGTCCCTCGTTGTTATTTATCTTGCATGGTTAGTCCCTATGCACGTTAACTGTTAACTTCTTCCGTTTAAGCTACCCACGTGCCTTGCACGCAGGGGCATTTTCATCTTTTTAGGGTTTGTATACATGAACCAGTATGGTGCGACTTCGATAACCGATCATTTCTGATTTCATCCTCCGTCGACCCTTAGCATTGCACGAGAAAACCCTAGTTTTCTACGATGGTGAACTGGAGGATTAGGCAAGAATGGGAGGAATACAATCTCCAAAGATCATACGGTAAAATTTTCTACATTTTCAGTTGATCATCCATTATACGTTCCTAAAACGTAATTTTTTTTGGGTTCGCAGCTGACAATCCATGTATGTTCTCGATACGATTGAACTATGGTGGAGTTTTTACGAAGTTTCCAGGCCGCAAATACATAAAGGGGAAGATGAAATATATTGATGGCATTGATAGTGACTTGTTCTCAGTGCATGATATGGACGAGATAATGGAATTGCTTGGTTGTGTGGAACCAGGTAAAAGTATTTATTATCATTTCAAACGACCAACCTGGGATTTAGATTTTGGGTTGTATGCTTTGGGTTGTGACGAAGATATAAACCACTTTAGGTCATACGTGTATGAACACAAGGTGATAGAAGTGTATACAGAGTTTTGGGAAACCAAGCTCCATACGTATCAAATGTCCCCAAACCCTGCAAAGATAAAGATACACGAAATTCCTGAGTCCCTTTGTCGTAAAAGCTTGTTATTGACATGGTCAAATTCAGGGGATTGTCCTAGTGAAGAAGCCCCTGTTTTTGAGAATGTAGAAACTATGGACGAACCCCCTAGTACATTACTTGAAACAACCTTGGAACAACCCCTTGTTACATTGAGTGAAACAGTTGAGTCAACCCCTGCCTATATACCAAGAATTGAAAGCCCTTTGACTGAACCAATGATAGGAAGCACATGTCCTAATGTTGATGGTTGGGATGATACATTTGAATGGTCTGAACCTTTTGGTGGGACTCCTATGGAACAAGATGAACCAAATAGTGAAAAAGCAGGTGAAGACAGTCAAGCTAGTAAAGACAGTCATGATAGTGATGACACTGAAGATAGTGAATACAGTCAAGATAGCGATTACATAGTTGATGAAGATAATTTGTTAGATGATCCAGAGGTTGATATGAAGAACTTTCACCTCAACATTGACAAAGAGGTGGAGTGGGTTGGAAGTTTTCCTGATGATCGAGATGAAGCAGTAGAAGGTGATGAAGAATTAGAGGTTATAAACACTGAAGAATTTGTATCTGCATCTTCATCAGATGAGGGTGAAGCTAGTAAAAAAAGGAAGAAGATAAGAGATTTACGAAGAGCACATAAGAATGAAGCAGCTGCTGTCAAAGATCCATTTTACATCCACCAGACTTTTAGCACAGCCAAGGAAGTTAAACAACAAATTTATCTTCATTCCATACAGAGTAGAAGGGAGTTAGACTTCGTCAAGAATGACAAAAATAGGATTAGAGTGGTTTGCAAAGGGACAATACCAAACCTTGGGATATTAGAAACAGGTGGGACCAGCAAAAGTAATGACAAAGTGGGACCAAGTCAAAAGAAAAAGAAAGTGAAAGATGGTTCTATTCATAAATGCCCATGGGTCCTACTAGTGAGTAAGTGGAAAAAAGACATTAACTGGACTGTTAAGACCTATGAAAAGCAACATACGTGCCTTCAAACAAGGAAAATTAGGGCATGTAACTACAAGTTTCTCTCTGAACAGATTGTTGACACAGTGGAGGCAAACCCAGAAATACCACTTAGAGCATTACGTGAGATGCTTGAGAAGAAATACCAACTTGGATTGTCAGACATGAAAGTTCATAGGGCGAAAACGAAAGCCCTGGAATCAATTAGGGGAGATTTTGCTGCTCAGTACTCATGTCTAAGAGACTACTTACAGAGGTGCAGAGTAGAAATCCAAACACCACAGTCAAACTTCAAGTGCAAAGTGAACCATGTTATGCATCTGAGACCAGGGTATTTGAACGAGTATACATTTGTCTTGGTCCACTGAAAAGTGGATTTGCAGCAGGGAAAAGAGATTTACTAGGGCTTGATGGTGCATTCATGAAGGGTCCATACCATGGTATGATCCTGACAGCAGTGGTATGTGCATAATCATATTTTAGTATTTGATTAATGTTTGACCATAGTTAATTGTTTGCTTATTACTGTGTTTGACATGATAATTCAGGGTTTAGATGGGAACAATTGCACATACCCTTTGGCATATGCAGTTGTTGAAGCAGAGAACTTTAATTCATGGACCTGGTTTTTAACTAACTTAGGAGATGATCTTGGTTTGTATGCAAACTCCAACTTCACTTTCATATCAGATAGACAGAAGGTAAATAAATTTCTCCATTCATTTTCACATGCATGTTTTACAATTCAATAAGCAACTTCACTCTTTTGATGATTTAGGGGTTATTGCCTGCACTTGAGAAACTTTTCCCAGCAGCAGAGCATAGATATTGCCTAAGGCATCTTCATGAGAACATGAAACGTAAATGGAGGGGCAAGGAATTCAAGGATTGTCTTTGGAAATGTGCAACATGTACCACCATACCACAATTCAACAGTGCCATGGAAGAACTAAAGAAACTTAACAGTGAAGCATATGACTGGCTTAATTCTATTCCACCTAAGCACTGGTCCAGATCCCACTTCTCAGGTATATAATATTATGTTTATAAGTGTATAATTTTTAAATATAATCTAATACAGTTGTGTTTTATTAGGGAGGGCACATTGTGATGCTGTGTTGAATAATATGTGTGAGAGTTTGAATAGCAAGATAGTGAAGGGTCGTGATAAGCCAATTATCAGTTGCTTGGAGTTTATTAGGGAGTATATCATGAGGAAAATTGTCATGGTTCAAAAAGAAATTGATAAAGCTAATGGCCCATTAACTCCTACAGCCACTAAGACCCTTGAAAAAATTAAAGAAAGGGCAGCACAGTGTAGGGCAGTGTTCTGTGGCAATGGGAAGTACCAGGTTACAAGTGAAGGTACTAATCAGTATGTGGTTAATATGGACCAACAAACTTGTTCATGTAATAGGTGGGAACTGACAGGCATACCCTGCAAACATAGTATAGCAGCTATATGGGATATGAGGCTCAACAATGAAAATGTTGGAATACCTGAGACATGGGTACACCCAACTTATTGGCTCAAGACATGGAAAGAAATGTATGTCTTCAAAGTTGAACCTATTAATGGGAGGTTATTGTGGGAAAAAAGCACATGTCCTACCAAGTTGATACCACCAAAGTATCGTGTCCCTATTGGCAGACCAAAAAAAAAGAGAAGAAGATCTGCAACAGAAGATGATGGAGTGTCCACAAAATGGAAATCTGTAACATGCACAAAATGTGGAAATGTGGGCCATAATGGAAGGACCTGCAAGGGACAATCACAGACTGGGAATGGAACAGGAGAAGGTGCAGCAGGGAATACAACAGGAGAAGGTGCAACAGGTAGCAGTGGTGGTGTACAAAATGGAGTTGGGAACAAAGGAAAAAGCCCCATGCTTTGAGAATTTGTAGTTTGGTATCATGATCATGAAGGATAACTATGTTTTTGTTAGGCATTTATTGCCATATTACTTTGTTGTTATGTGTTGTATTTTGATACTTTGTTGCTGTGTAGGATAACTATTTGTATGCCATAAGACTATGTTGTTATTTTGGATGTCCCTTTATGTTAATGGTCAATGGTTATCTTGGATATTTTAGAGTTTTTGTCCCTTTTAATTGTTATATTGGATGCTAGTATTGAATGGTATATTGCATATGTTGCAAATACCACATTTTCATTAAATTTGAACACCAACTGATAACACCACATTATAATTACACAATATATTGTAACTAAAATTGAAATTTTTTTGTTAATACAAATAACATTACAAAGAGTCTCCATTACAATATACACATACCAAAATACTAACAACTTCATTACTTAACCTACACTTTATATATAAGGACTGAAACAAAAAAAACCCAGCTAATAACTAGGTAAAGCTTCAATTTGCGATTTTGTTCTTCAAGTTTCATCCTAAACGCCATACAATCACAGTCCTGATCATAATCATTCACCCATCCTATGAACTTGCATAATGGTCCCTGAACCAATTAAAGTAGATGAAGAATTAGGGCAAAATTAGAGAAGACGAAGAACGAAATTGAAATCATTAACCTTACCTTTACTGTACAAGCATAATAGAGTTTCCCAGGGTTTCTTTTGCTATAAGATGTGCGAATCACTGCAGTGGCTCCACAATTGCATTTAATATCGATCATTGTTATGTATTTGGAAGAAATCGATCGAACGGGGGGAAGAGACGAACGAGGGGAAGAGACGAACGAGAGGATACAGAGGAAAAGAGGGTTGCAGTGTTCTTTATAAGATTTAAGGTGTAACGGCATTAAATATGGACACAAACCCTAAAAAGACGAAAATGCCCCTGCGTGCAAGGCACGTGGGTAGCTTAAACGGAAGAAGTTAACAGTTAACGTGCATAGGGACTAACCATGCAAGATAAATAACAACGAGGGACAGCACGAGTTAAATTTTGGAAATAGGGACTACACATGCTTTCTGGCATGTGCACGAGGGACCAACGGTGTAATTTACCCTTAAAGTTTTAACTTTTAATGACACTAACCCTAAAAAAAAAAATGATTATTTAGAAATACTCGGACTCTGTTTCGTTATCATTTTAACAAATATCTCCAAAAATATATCCTCAAGATTTACTTATCAAATGGAAAATATAAATAAATAGATAAAAACCCCTGCACTATAAATACGAGCTACATATACGGCCAACCCCTGAAGATCCTCCGGCACTTCTTCTAGGATCTTCTTCTCTCCGTCAAAAACCATGACTCGCATAACGGATTCCAACAATAAATCGTCGTCGACGACCATCAAGTTTCTCTATAGCTACGGCGGCAAGATTCAGCCACGTAAGATAGACGGCAAGCTTCGTTACGTCGGCGGCCATACCAGAGTTCTCGCCGTCGACCGTTTTGTCACGCACGCAGAGCTGATTGTTAAGTTCTGGGAGGCCTGTGGATTTTCCGTCAAGTTGAAGTGTAAGCTGCCGACCGAAGATCTCGACGTGTTGGTGTCTATTACTGGCGATGAGGATCTCGCAGCTGTATTAGAGGAGTACGATCGAGTTTCTCCAGATGTGAAGATCAGAGCTGTTCTTTTCCCCATCGATTCGTTGAAGACAATTTCTCCTGTTTCATCTGTTGCTTCGCTTGTCGATTTTCCTGTCGCAACACCGCTGCGGGATCCAGTTGTGGCCAATTATAACGCAATTACGCTACAACGTCCGTTCTCAGCCTTCAAGTTCCATGGTTTTCCGGTTGCTAATCCTCCGTTTGCCGGTAGATAACGTGATCAAAAAATCCCTAGTGTAAAACATGATTTAGTTACTAGACAAACAAGAAGGATTACTGGACTCAAGTAGATGCTATTATAAGATTGAAATCCATATATTATTTTGTGAGATTGATCGTTGTTTTATTCATTAATTTTGATACCATATATGCCCGGCGTTTAATTGAAGCTGCTAGGGTTTCAAACAGCCCGTTAACCTTGTTTTCTTTTCTTACTACACTATGAATTTCTATACTCTTCACGGACATCCATGAAGTTCTACCGGTGTTAATGGCGATATGCGGCTTCTTTAATTTCCAAGGTAATAAGTTCAGTCTTTTTTAATTAATCTGAGTAAATTTTCTATCCCTTTTCGATCTATATATCTTCATCGATTTTATTGCTCCAGGATGTAATCATGGCGTCATTCTCTTGGAACAAGTTGATTATAAGAGTCAGTCTCCCACAAGTTTGATGGAAATTAATTATCAACGTTGTATTTATTGGTATATATATTTTTTATAAAAGGTTTTGCACTAATATGGATTGAGAAAATTCAATGATAAGAATAAACACGATCATAATCCTTTTGAATTTATGGTCATGATTCCCAAAAGCACAAGGAAAGTAATAGACAGAAGGGAGCAACACAACGTGACGAAAGAGATAACCTTGGACTGTTATTTGATGATATAGATCTGTGGGGCAGTTGATTAAGAATAGTGATTTGATGAATAAGGTGGTGGATCGTCAAATTATCATACGTTATAAGCTATAACTATCTCATAAATGATAAAACTATGAGAAGTTAAATATCCTCCTACCAAATCTTTCTATTGTTCATCCTACTCACTAGATTATGACAAGTGTGATAGGATAATCAAGAAAAAAGAATTAATAGATTACATTTGGGATTCAACAAGTAGTAAGGAGGATAAAATATATTAGACAAATATAGTTCTTGTACCATTATGTTTTTGTCCATTAGTTAGAGGGGTGTTCATGTAAGTTATTTATTAGTTAGAAGGGTGTTCATGTAATTTATTTACCTATATATATCCTTGTAACTCTGGTGTATCTACAACAAAGAGTTTTTGATTAACTTTCACATGGTATCAAGCCTTGTAACTCCCAACCTTCTTTTTCCCTCCCTTCAAAACTGTCCCTCTCTTCTTCTTCCTCTCCCACCCATCAACTTTCCTCACCCTTTAGCTTCCTCATCATGTCTAACTCCGATGCTTCCTCTCTCTCTCTATGAACACCATCTTGCATCTCATCACCATTCGCCTTTCTTCATCCAATTACCTTCTATGGAAGAATCAAATGATCCCTCTTTTACAATACCAGCAACTTCTTGGTCATGTTGACGGCTCTGTTTCAAACCCACCGCCCTCCATTTTGGTTGATAACAAGCCGACCTTGAATCCGGCATTGGCAGAGTGGGTCTCCACCGATCAAAGGACTGTTATTCTTCTTCAAGCTTCTCTCACAGAAGAAGCTTTTTCTGAGATTGTGGGCCTCTCAACAACCCGTGACATTTGGGTAGCCCTTGAAGCCGCCTACAACAACTCCTCCTTAGAGCGTGCCCAAAATCTCCGTGATCAACTACATCATCTTACCAAGGGTTCCACCGTTTCAGAATTTGGCCGAAAATTCAAGTCCGTTTGTGATCAACTTGTCGCCATTGGTCAAGGTGTGGAGGAAACTGACAAAACCCATTGGTTTCTTTGCGGTCTTGGTGCCTCGTTTGAGAATTTTTCCATCGCCATCCGTGCTTCCGGGACTGTTTTTGGGTTTCGCGACTTGTTGGCTAGGGCCAAGGGTCATGAAATTTTTCTCAAATCTATTCACGGCGACACCACTCCCTCGGTTGCTTTTTCTGCCGGTGCCACTCCCTCCTCGGGTTCAAATGGTGGTCGGGGTCGGGGTGGTCGCTCGTTTCGTGGTGGTCGCGATCGTGGACGTCGGCCGCCTCATTGTCAACTTTGTTGCCAAAATGGCCACTACGCGAACCAGTTCCCTCAACTTCACTCTTTTGCGTCCTCTTCACCCATGCGTGATGTTGATCTCGCCAAAGCTTTTTTTAGCAAAGTGCGAAGTTACTCCTTCTGGCCCAGATTGGTTTGTTGATTCCGGTGCCTCCGATCACATGGTGTCTTCCACCAGATCGGTGTCGAATGTCGAGCCGTATGGTGGTGACTATTTGGTGCAATTTGGAAATGGTAATACACTCAGAATCTCTTATATTGGTTCTTCTAAAATTGCTAATGGTATTCACTTGCAGGATGTTTTGGTGGTTCCCCGCCTCACCAAAAATTTATTATCCATTAGTAAACTAACACGTGATAATCCTGTGGATGTTCTTTTCTTTGCTTCATCATTTTTTATTCAGGATCGAACAACGAAGCAGGTCCTAGCACAAGGAAAATGTGATCGTGGGCTTTATGTTCTAGCCACTTCTCCCAAAGCTTATGCGTTTTTTGCCGGATTCAAGCCGCATGCCTCTTTTGAACTTTGGCACTCCAGATTGGGACATGTGTCTTTGACACTATTTCTATGTTAAATAATCTTGGACTTTTATCTGTTTCTAGTGTGTTGCCAAAACCAAATATTTGCTCTCCTTGTGAACTTGCTAAGTCTCGTCGCTTGCCATTTTCTAATAATAATAAACGTGCTTTACATATATTAGAATTGGTTCATTGTGATTTATGGGGGCCGTCACCCGTTTCGTCGGTTAATTCATATCGCTACTATGTCTCTTTTGTGGACGATTATTCGCGCTTTACATGGTTGTATCCACTCAAGGCCAAATCAGAATTTTATGATGTTTTCGTCTCATTTCTCACTTTTGTGGAAAATCAATTTTCCACCAGGCTTAAAGTTTTTCAAAGTGACGGGGGTACGGAAATTTTAAACTATCATGTGAAGGGCTTATTAAACTCGCGTGGCATTTTTCATCAGATTTCGTGTCCATACACCCCGCAACAAAACGGACGAGCCGAACGCAAGCATCGCCATATAATTGAAACGGGCCTTGCCATGATGTTTCATGGTCACATACCCGCCTCTTATTGGGTTCATGCCTTTAGCACCGCGGTGTATATTATTAATCGTTTGCCTTCGAAAGTTCTTGGCTATCGTTCGCCTTTTGAGATGTTGTTTGGTCGGGTGTCATCTTATGATAATTTTCGCCAATTCGGGTGTCAGGTCTTGCCTTATTTGCGGGATTATTCGCCTCATAAATTGTCTCCACGGAGCATTCTCTGCGTTTTTCTTGGATATCACTCCCAATACAAAGGTTACTTATGTCTTGATCCTAGATCCTAAGAATCAATTTGATTTTGACAAAATTGCAAAAATGGTCCCTATGGCATGCAATTTTTTTGGTTTTTAGTCCAAAATCTGAGTTTTTTTTGGATCCAACATCCTTTTGGAGTGATTTGTATGTGGAATTGGTCCCTGGACTTAACTCCCGTTAAAAAGGATATGTTAACCCACTCATACGCCTCATAGGTGAGGGTAAATCCGCCATTTCATATGTAAGGGACCATTTTTGCATAAACCTTTTTTGGCTTATTTTGACCTTTACCCCTCATTTACTTTCCCCGACACCCGTCAACTCCCCAACTCACTCCTTCTTGCTTCTGCTCCATTGAACCTGCAAAAAACCCTCGTTCCTTATCTAAACAAGTTAATCGACGCAACACATACAAGGCCATACGTTTAATGGTGTTCGTAATGTGGTAGATCGGACCAGAACATGAAGTTGTTGATGTATCAACCGTATATGATAAGTTGCTCTATTTTCTTTAAGTTTCATATTTTGCGTTTTTCTTATTGATTTAGAACAAAAAATGCAAAATTTTGACTTTGTTAATATGTACAATTTTGATTTTTAGCGGGTGCACCCACATGGTTTAGTATTAAGCTTCATCATGGTGGGAAATTTACTAAGTTACCTGATATAAAGTACATCAGAGGTAAAGTGCGTTATGTTGATTACGTGGACATAGATGAGTTTTGCTATACATGAACTTGATGCCATAATGCTTGACCTAGGTTTCCCAGACCCATGAAATTCTGAATTCGCTGATGAATCCCCAGTGATATACTACCATTTTAGGATACCTAATGGTGACTTTCAATTTGGTCTTAGAGCTTTAGGGAAAGATCAAGATGTGATCAACCTTTCTAAATACATTGCACATAACAAGCTGATTGAGGTGTACATAGAGAATGGGAAGACAAATATACTGACTTACTTCATGTCTCCAAATGCAAAGGGTAAAGTTGTCATTGAGGAATTACCAGAAAACGATGATCAAGGGGCTGAAGTTGAGGGTCAAGTTCATGTAGAATCTATCGAAAAATATGAACCATGTTAATGATGAGCCTATTGGTGAGTACACGTCTATGATTCTTTTTGGGAGTAAGAATGATACTTTATCACCATAGTATACAAGGGGTAGACTTGGGAATTCCAAAAGAGGTGAAGGTTCTTGCAGCAAGCTTAATTTAGATTATATTGATGAGGGTGTTCACATATCAAAGGAAAAGAATTATAATCAGGATGGTTCAACTGATGTTCAGGAGGCAACAACTTCTGTTTATATTGATGAGATGGAGGGTGACGGAGGCTACAAATGGTGTTGAGGAGGCATAAACTGTTGTTAAAGAATGCTATAACACACCTTGTTAATAATGATGATCAAAAACTGAATGAGCTATTTGATAACCTTATGGACAATTTGATTGGTGGGATGGGGAATCCGAAGAGGGTAATCCAGAGTATGAAGAGGATGATGGATCTCAAGAAAGTGATCCACATTATGAAGAGGATGATGAATCTCAAGAAAGTGATCCAGAGTATGAAGAGGATGGGAAACAAATAGAAGATGAAGATCAAGTGGATGACATAATGGACGTGGACAACAATATTCAATTTTGAAAGTGATGTGGAAGGATCATGTATAAATGGTGTTCATGGGCATGAACTTGAAGATATGGAAGTGATCAACAATGAGGAATTCGAATCTTTAGATGAAGGATCTGACCAAGACAGAGTGAGAAGAGCTCTTATCAAGAATTTGGGAAAAGAAAAAAGGTGCAGCCTTGGGGCAGTACATAAACAATAATTTTCAGTTGGAGATAAATTTAAAAGTAAAAAAGAATTAAAGGAGGCAAATGATGTGCATGCACTAGAATCAAGGAGTCTTTTCTTAAAAAAAGAAAATGTAAGGCTTAGGGCACAATGTAGAGGAGTTGTACCTATCACCAATAAAGGCCAAGTAGGTAGTCAAGCTACCACTTTAAAAAGAAATAGTAAAGAAGTAAAGATAGAATAAGTAACATGTGGTTGATATATTCATGCATCTAGGTCAAATCCTGAATCTGACTGGTTTATAAGGACCTTAAACCAAACTCATACATGTTTGCAAACAAGGAAACTCAAGGCTTTATATTGCTTCTTTAATCAATAAAAAAATCATTGATCAAGTTGAGGAAAATCCAATTATACCTTTGAGAGCCATATAGGATCACTTTCAAAAAACTTACCAGGTGGGTATTTCGATGGACAAGGTGTTAATGGCAAAGGGTAAGGCAAGAAAGCATGTAACTAGGTACTACACAAGGCAATATGAACTGTTGAGGGACTATTTTTTCGAACTTCAAGCTACCAACCTAGATACTACAATGAAAATAGATGTATGTTCTAAGCCTAACCCTGATTCCCCAACCAGACAGTTTAGAAGAATTTATGTGTGTTTGGGTCCACTGAAAAAAGGTTTCAAGGCATGCCTTAGGGACTTATTAGGTTTTGATGGTGCCTTCATGAATGGACCATTCCTTGGGCAGGTCCTTTCAACAGTTGGTCTTGATTCCAATAATGGAATTTACCCATTAGCATATGGGATTGTTGAGTCTGAAAACACAGAAAGCTGGAAGTGGTTTTTAGAAAACCTTAAGGATAACTTGGACCCTGGAAGAAACTCAAATTTTACTTTCATAAGTGATAGGAAAAAGGTAAAGAAAATTTATACATCTGGTCATTTAAGATGTGGTTTTTAATTAATTCTAATTATTGACAATTGATTCATGTAGGGTTTACAAAGTGTAGTTGATAAGTTGTTTCTCAATGCTGAGCATAGATATTATATCAGACATATTCATGACAATATGAGAAAGAGGTGGATGCAAACATAGTATAAGGATCACTTATGGATGTGTGCATCAACAACCACCATTCTTGAGTTTGAACATTTTATGAAGGAGTTTAGTCAGTATGATAAGGAGGCATGTAAATGGTTGAAGCGAATTCCTCCTACATATTGAGCAAGGAGTCATTTTTCAGGTAATTCTATATATTCCAATTTGGTCTTTATGTTTCTCACTTGGTGAACTGTTTTACTTGTATGTTAATTGTCTTAACTATTTTTTAATGCTAATGTACAACAGGAAGAGCAGTTTTTGATGTGTTGATATCCAAGATGTGCGAAGTGTTTAATAGGAAAATAGACAAAGGAAGGGATAAAGTTGTAATTGGATGTTTAGAATACATAAGGGGGTATCTAATGAAGAGGATATGCAATGTCATGAAGGAAATGAAAAAGGATAAAGGTCCACTAACACCCACATCAACAAACATCCTAATTGCAAGAAAAATAGTTGCTTCACAATACATTGCTAGGTGGAATAGGGGACACAAGTTTCAAGTTACAAGAGCTTTGCAGGATTAGCATGTGGTGGATGTTAGGAACCAAACATGCACTTGCAGAAAATGGGAATTAATTGGAATTCCATGCATACATGCAATTGCAACTCTAAATGAAATGAGTAATGACCCAGAGGCTGAGCTTTCCATTTACAAATGGGTTCACAAGGTGTATTTTCTAGAGACATGGAAAAAAGATTATTCATTTAAAGTAAAGCCAATTAAGGGGAGATCAATGTGGCCCAAAAGTGAATGTCCCACAAAGCTAATCCCTCCTCCACATCGCACTCAGGTGGGAAGGCTTAAGCAAAAAAGAAGACAAAGTGAGGGTGAAAGGTTAAGTAAAAAGCAGACGGAAAGTCAAGGTGATGGAATGAATGTTACACAAGAAGGAGGTTCCCAAAGACCAACAAATGATGGAGTGCAGAAGCTATCACAGAAGCATATCAGTGTTACTTATAGAAAATGCAAGAACAAGGGACACAACTCTAGGACTTGTAAAGGGCAAGGTGGAAATCAGTCCAAGAACTAATATGTCATGCATGGGGTTTTCTGTGATTTTGGTTGGTTATGAAAACTTGGTTGTTATGTTTACATAAATTTGTTGAAAAATTTTGGTTGCTTGTTATGAAAACTTGGTTGTTATCTTAGGTATGATAATGTGTCCCTTGTGGTCATGTTTAGAATCTTTGGTTGTTATGTTTAGAAACTTTGGTTGTTATGTTATGAATCTTAATGAAATGTGCATTTTGGTTATGTACAATTGGGTCTCATGTATACATTTTGGTAATACATTTATACCATTTCTATTCATGTGTTAATTCTAATATATTCATACCATTTTGGTAATACATTCATATCATTTTGGTAATACATTCATACATTACACTAATATCATACCATACATATAACATTAACATCATAAGTCACTACAAACATGATCACATAAAATTACAACAAAAGGACCATTTTTTCCATACTATTACCCTTCACAGACCAAAACACCCTTCACAATAAACCCCTACACAAACCAAATACAGAAGAAGACAATCACAAAAAAACCAACTACCAAACAGGTACATTTTCAGCCAAATTGTCATCCTTCAATGCTTTGAAATTTGCCACCAACATGTCGTTTACACTTCTAACCAACTTATTGCATCATTCCTGTACTGAATTCAAATTTCTTACACTACTAGAAAAACAGCCTTTTACGATGCTCATTGCGCGTCGTAAAAGGCTCAGATGACGCGCAAATGCGCGTCAAGGAAGGCCCTGTCATAAAGAGAGACGACGCGCTTTTGCGCGTCGTCTATAGACGACACGCATTTACGACGCGCAGTTACGACACGCAATGCATATCAAGGAAGGCCCTGTCATAAAGGAAGAAGACACGCATTCGCGTATCGTAACCTTACGACGCGCATGTTTATGACACGCAATGCGTATCAAGAAAACCACTGTCAAGAAAGGCCATGTCATAAATGAAGATGACACACATTTTTGCGTATCATAATTTTAAATGTTTAAAAAAATATATTTTTTATAGATTTACTAATTTTCAAATTAAATTTGCATTTAATGCCTCATAATAGAAAATAAAATATCATATACATAAAATATAATCCATTTCATAAAATTTAATGTCATATAAAATATCATATACAAACAATAGAATCCATTGCATAATATTTTATTACAAATTTAACATTTTTTTGTTTCTGTACTTTGACAATTTGTGCTGCTGCTGATTCCGGAACCAATCCGTGACTGCATTCCAGAGCTGATTCAGTGGAAAGAGCATTCCAGACTCCATCACTTGAAATTACAAGCCACCCACAAGAAGAAGATAGCTGAAGATCATGAATAAATAAAAGTTGTTAACAAAAAAATGAATAAATTGAGTTTAATTACTAAACTAACCTTCACTTGTTTGACATGAGGAACTGGAATAATGAACTCCTCAACATCTTTATCTCCAATAGATCTTGAAAGGCATAACCCACCTTGTCAGGGGTTTCGAGTCTGAATTTTCAGAGCAGTCTACTGATGATTGTTAAGAAGAGGAGCAAAATCTAATAATTTTTATGCTGTTTTGGTGCTAAAGGGATCTCTTTTGCAAAGTAGAGTGTCACCAGTGTGCAAAATGTATGAAAAATCTGCAAACATGCCAACATGTTTTGTATTATTTAATATTCCAATTTTCCTTTTGTTAGTTAGAAACATCAGAAGGCTTTTTGGTTGTCAATTTATCAATTTTAAGATATAGTTATATTTAGCTATTAAAAACTCACCACTGCAACTAAAAAAGATGCCTTCAGATTTCCACATGCCTCACACCAAGCTATACTTTTCAAGAAAAGAAACCACCTGCCATGGAGAATGATCAAATTAATTAGAAAAAATATGAAAAAAAATCAAATAAAACCACATAATATAATAAGAAGACTTCCGATAGATAATATACGTGTGCCAATTTCCACTAGAACCAGATAGAAACCCTAAGATGTTTCCAATCGCCATCCATGAACAAAATATAATATTTGCTGAGTTCCTCTGATCAGGGCCTATCATAAACAAGCAATGTAAATAAAATACCCAAAAATCATCATCATAAACAAGCAATGTAAATAAAATACCCAAAAATCATCATCATCATCATATCTTGAGAAAACATATTTCTTTCTTCTTTCCTTTCTTACAAAAAGTAAGGTACCCCTGTCCTTGGTCCTATCATCTGATTGTTTTTTTCAGTTTCTGTGAAAAACTTTACCTCTCTCTCCTGTCACACCCACCACAATCATTAATTCATTATTAAATAATATACTCCTAAAAGAAAGAAAAAAAGATAAATTAACTTATGGGAATACCATGTTTTCACTAAAGCTCAAAATTGAAGCCATGTTGCCACACCGATAGCAGTAATTTGGTGCAGACCAAACCTATAAGATGAAGAAAGAAAATGAAACATCAAATTTTTTGATTTTTGGGAGTGAAAAAAAGGGTAAAACAGGAAACTTACAGTTACAAGTCGTTTATATTGAAACATGTACTTTAAAGAATTGAATCTCTAAGGTTTTTGTTTGGTTCAAAAGTAAAGTTTAGGTGGATTTCTTCCCGAAGCCACCAATGTTGGCTGCAAAAACAACACTGAGTGTTACGTATACACTTGAAAGGAATTGAAAATATCTACAGTCATACACTTAGTTAGTTACCTGATTAAGGGTGGGATACTTATCTACTTTTTGGATCTTTGTTATCAGAGAACAATCTTTGTTATCAGGTAAGCCTGGTGACACATATGAAGAGTCATGATCATATTTTGCAATCCAGAATGTGTAGTAATCCTTTTCATTGAGGCTCTTGGATAGATTGAAACATAGTTTAGTGTTGTGTTTTCCTTCAGCCCATCGCACATAGACATTATGTCAAGCACCTTGTGGGCGTACATCAGTAACTGACCGAACAGAGACTAATTCGTGTTCATGGCTATACCATCCAAAGCAGCTTTATGAGTAGACAAATTAAGTGTGTGATATATCAACCATTAGTTCCGATATTACATAAGAAAATGATAACAAGTGCAATCACCATGGCCTTTGCATCATTCTTATACCCCTCCAGAGCTGTTGTAGCAATTGTCACCACCTAGTCAAAACAATAGCACACAACAGTGCCACATCAGCATTATCAAATTGCTATCATGAGTAAAAACAAGTACATTTCTCATATCAGTAAAAGAAAAAGAAAAAGGCAAAGTACCTCTCGTTCAAATGGAGGATATCTCCCAAGTCCTGGTGTAGCATTAGCTGAAGCTGAAACTATGTCCGCAAGTACACGATGAACCTGTACTCATTACAAACGATTACATAAATGAAATTAAAAGAATAATAATATTAATAAGAGAAAAGGGGAATTAATTAAAAATGAAAAAACAAAATAATGTGTAGTTTTTTTACCTCGTCAACACAGAGACGTGAGGGCTCTTAATCTGATACATAGCAGAAATCACAGGGACCATTTTGTAATTTATTCTTAATCGATTTTACTGATCACAGCAATGGATCTTGTTGCTATATTAAAAAAAATTATATTTTAATAATTCATGAAGCCTTGACTGGATTGCAATTTGGGGAAACAAAGATTAGTTGTCCAGATTACTTACCTTTCCTTGAACACTACTTGGAACAACTTATCACCATGACAAGCTAAATCAACTAGAAACTTTCCCTATTTACATTTTACAACAATACCTATCAATAAATGAAACAATTATACTACATTTCTTAAAAAAAAGCATAAAATTAGAATAAAATAATGAAATAGATGAAGAGAAGTTAAAAAATCACGCATATTATAGAACATATCCATATCTAATGCCTGAAGCATTCTAGTTTAATCAACTAGGATAAATGTCTAGCAATGTGATTACATTGCAATAATTTCATGAAGATTATTTATATAGCTTTGTTGTTTTGTATAAGGAAATACAATTACCTTCCCAACTAGTATCTCATTAGCATGCTGAACCCCATATACATCAACAGTATCAAAGAATGTAACTCCTCTATTAAAAGCTTCCTTTAGCACTTTGCTGCCTTCTTCCTTAGGGAGAGGATTGTTATAGATACCTGTAAGCCCCATGCAGCCATACCCTAGTATTGAGACTTGTAGAAAAGGAAAATGAGGTTGAATGTATAACGGATCCATATCTAATTTGCAATTTATAAAAATCTTTTCTATCCCTAATCATACAACTTTTTGTCCCAGAATTCAACTACCGAATGCATCAAACCCCCAAATTGGAAGTAGAATATAAACCTAGATAGAATTAAAGAGATGATTTAGGGAGAAAGGTTTTAACAGAAAAGGTAATCGTATCACATACTAGTTTTCTATTATGTTGCCCCATGCAGCCACATGGATAATGTTTTTTGCATGTATCAGACACATAGAAATTCAGAAGCCACATGGATAATGTTTCTTTCCCTTTAGAATTCATGCACATTCTAGTTTTCTATTATGTTGCTCCTTCGTTCCAAACAGAATTACAATTTTTCTATAGGAAAAAGAATCTTTTGAACTACAGATTTGTCAATCTGTCTTGATAATTTTATGGTAACAGTTAAGTAACCCTAAATTTCCAATTTGTTTGTGTTTTGAACCAATTTGTCAAAATTAAGTACTATTCAGAGAATACAAGTCAACATGAGGGGGAGAATCACCAAATCAAGGGCAAAATCGACATAAACAAGCAAAAATTCGAACAGTAGAAAAGAGAATTTAACAATATATATGAAAATTTAGTGAATAATGCCAATTTGAGAGAGACGTGGTTTGAAGTTTCATAAAATCTCATGTTTGAAAGCCCTATGTCGGCTCTTTGGACTGTGGTCTCGATTACTGTAGGTAGAATCACATATTTGTGGGTGCGATCGAGCCCACTAAGTTTTAGATGATATTATCATACCTTCAACACAAGGAAGACGATGTTATTGAGAGGGAGTCTTGTTGTGCGAGACAGATCACAAAGAAGATCTGATGGTCATTAAACCAGACCTAGGGCTTGTAAATTTGAGCATATGTGGCGGTCTCTGTCGAGGTAAGGTTATCCCAAGCTCTCCGGCTAAAAGAGATGAGTCGAGATCGTTGGTAGATGAGGTGAGCCAAGGTAGCGAGCGTTGTAGAGAGCCTTCCCATCTTGAAAAGAACCCTAGAATGATCCCTTCGATTTCAGGGGCAATCTTGTGAGGATTTCAAGAAGGAGAGACTCAGTGAGGTTTTGAATATCGTATGAGAACGTATGAGCAAGGAGAAGATGAAGGCCCTAGGGATTTTTCTTGAGGCGGGGGGATTAATTTTTGGAATCCAATAGGCGGGAGTAATTTTAGTCGATTTCATTTCCCGCCTAAAACGCGTGTTTCACTTAAAAATTATAAAGCGACACATTTACACGACGCACATTTTATGAAAGGCGCCCTCCGCATTTCTTTTTTTTTTTTCTTTTCTGACACTAATTTTAGGGCGCGCACAAATACATGTCCTTTATCCTTCAAATTTTGCAAAACTGACATTATCTTTTAGGGCACGTACAAATGCGCATCCTCTATCAGTGAGTGTCATTGTTTGCGCGTCATTAAAGGCTGTTTTTCTAGTAGTGTTAGCAGACCAGATATTATGGATTTAGACCTAATACACATTGGGGGATCAAGCCACCCGATAAACCCACAAACAGAATCATTCATAAGGGATGCAAAAAATATCCTTCCTGGATTCGGAGGGGTCCAAGACGTTTTCACCACAACAACTTTTCCACAAAAACATATAACCATTGTTATTATAACAGAGCTCAAGAAGAAGAAGGGTAGAAAAAAGAGACGTTGCGTAACGCACGTGTTTCTGGGACACACATTAGTATAGTGATGTAATAGTCAAGGTCAACCATTGTAATCTATTTTGAAGTAATAAAGATGAATTACTTGAATATTATGTGAATTATGTGATTTTATGTGTTTACATATTGGTTTATAAAGATATAATAAAAATAAGGATTGAAAATAAAGTGTTAGATAAACCCAATATCTATACATAAAGTTTTAGTGGTCGAAACAAGGATTGCAGATATATAAAGAATGCCGAAATCCGAGTTATAACGAAGAAGTTATGGCCTGTCGAATTTTCACGACAAAACCGGCACGACACTGCGTGACGTAAATAGTGAATTTGCGATAGAGGACTTTTTGGCCTTAGCAATCTAAACGAAAGTTGTATTATACGTTAAATTGAGAGCGTGCATAAAAAGAATACCCAAATCTGACTTCGTATGATGAAGTTATGATTTTTTAAAGATTTGGCATAGCAGTGCACAACCCGAAATTCGAATTTCAGATCGATTGATTTTTGGCCAATGCAACCTAAATGAGAATTGAAGATCTCATTAATAAGAGCTGAACGATAAAAAGGAAGACGAAGCGGAGTCCGTATGTAGAAGTTATGAGTTTTACACAGTCGTTAATAGTGTACTATTCTCCTACTGTTAAATTCAAAATCAATCAAGAATTAGCCGACGGAGTCTAAACGAAAGTTGTAGATTATCTCTCTACCTATGTGTGGATATAAAGAACGTCTAAAACAGAGCTCGTATGCAAAAGTTATGGGGTTTAGAAGTCAGCATGATGCTGCTACGAAGGGGCTGATCTGGTTGAATCTAGGCCGTTGCTTTCTCTCCAAGTCTTGCCACGAGATGGTGACATGTGGCACCAAGTTGAGCCATATTTCACCCTATAAATATAACCCCTTCCACCCTCATTTCTTCACACCTCCATCTTTCTCTTTCTCTCTATAACTTCTCTCTAAACCTCCCACACCCCCCCTAAAGCCATAGGAAACTCCCCTAGCGCTAGAAGAAAGCTCCAAAGCACCCGACGGCTCCGAGAAAAAGATCTTTTCGGCTCAGAAGCTCTGCTCCAATAGAGCCCGGTTTTTAGCAAAATCCGCTGTAAGTGAGATACGCCTACCGTACTTTAAATATAGCTTATATTTAAATATAATATCATTATTATGAAGCTATAAATAAGATTTATCAGTGATTCAAAGTCGTTATACTAATTGATCTACTTACGAGAATGATGTCTAGGCTGTGATTTAGTGATGTGTTTAAAGTGAGATTTCCAAACAATATACTTCGTATACCAAACGGACCCTACCTCCGATATGATCTTACCCGGTTGTTCCTTACTTGATAGATCATGACGTAGACTCTGAGTTAATGACGAATCTAGACTAATAGTTAGTCGCAATAAATATTAGACTAAAATCTAGTTGTAATAATACCAGGTTTCGTCGAACGAAATCATATTGTTAAGAAGCGAAGCACTGCTCGAATTTCGAGTCGTCACTTTAACAAGTGAGTGCATAGTCACTTTTATCTTACACATAGATATGAAATATTTTATATTAATTACGTGCTATGTGTGCATATTATATGTTTACTTGATATCTATGCTAGATGAACATTTTTATACAAGCTTTAAATGATTTAAACTGTATATGTATTTTATATCTACAAAAATGTTGGGGTAAAATGTGGGTAGATGAAATAGACGATGTGCGATAAAATGATGAGAGGCCTCAATGTTGATGATGATCCACTCATCCACGGAGTATAGATGACGACCACAAAATATTGTAGACAGTCCAGTGGAACGCTAGCAGGCTCGCAACCTGTAGGTGTTTGTAAACGATGTGTTCACTGGTGTACTCCACCCCCCATGGTTGCCTCACGGATAATTATTGCTGAGGAACCCCCTTTGCAGTAGTGTCCATCCCGATGAAATTAATAAACTTATTTATTATGTGCTAAAAATGCTATGTGCTCACCAGGCTCCCAAGCTCGACCACTTAGTTTCTTGTATTAGAGGTAGTGACACAAGAGCATAGTTGGATGACTTGATGAGGGATTATGGATTATATGCCAGTAGATATAAATAAATGTTGTAAGACCTATGTTGTTCTGTTTATGCTTTTGATCTGTATCAAACATAACATCCCGAGGTTTTAATATAATGAAATACATTTCTTCCGAATTAATGTTTTGATCTTTATCATATTTATCTTTTGAGAATAAATTCCACAATACCTTTCTTTAAAAGGTTACTATGAATTTCAAAACAAAGCATAAACAAATTGGACTTTTCTGGCCGTGAAAATGGGGATGTCATAGTTGGTATCAGAGCATTAGTTTAAGCAAATTAGGAACTTGTAGGATTTCTATACTTAAACTTAGAATGCTACTATATTTTAGAGCATTAGTTTAAGCAAATTCGGAGACTGCATCATTCCACTCGAAAAGTTCGTGTGCCACCCCAAAACCGAAGAACGCCATTTGAGCTCCTAAACAGTCCCGAATGGCGGAAAAACACAAAAACTCAAGCCGTAGCAATGAGTCTAGTTTATTTTCCCATTTTACATTAACCGTACGAATTTCGTCTAATTCAGAGACTGCATCATTC